TTACATGTTGCACTCTTTATATACTCTATAGGACACTGGTTTAAATCTCACCATGACTGCAAATGAAGGAAATCTACTGCCATCTTGTGGAACTGAAAGGGAAATAAGCCCAGCAATGACAAAGAAATCTAATCATCTACAGTATGAGTCAAATGATTAACACTGTAGGGCACAATCTATCCTAGGAACCAAAGAGAACCTGCTTGTAATAGTAGTTTGATCTGGACTAATTCAGGCATGTGAGTTACAGAAAAAAACTAGAGCAACCCAGCATTTTACCTTACTTGGTATGAGAACAAAACCTTTTTTTAAATAGTCAAAAAAAATGTTCTGATCTTAACACTGTGCTCAAGAGAGCATTTACCTTAGTGTCATATTTACAGGTCTCACGACACACACTGTGCAGGGCAGCAGGTGAACACGATTATATGAAGTTATTTTTGCTGCATGTTCTACTTGTAGAATGTAATTTGTGCAGAAACAGCTGCTGACATTAATTAAATATTACGACAGTCCAGACTGAACTGTGTGGTGAGCTCAACATTATATTTGTTGTTGAAAACTGTGCCATGTTTATGTCAATCCTGGGCTCTTTGATATCATTGTGGCATGGTGTTTATCCTAGTTGAATGAAGAGCAAAGCCAGCTCACCCTTAAGAATTCTAATATTTTTGCAAAGGAGAATTGCAGTGAATGCCATTCAGTCGAAGTAAAAGCCCTCAGGTATGCACAGCGTTGTTGTGATTGGTCAACTCTTAAGTACATGATTTAAATGTAGCTGTACCAAGGGAGCGTACAGGCAACAATCAGAGTGCCAGAGTCTGAGTGTTCAAAGCACGCAGATTATTTGTCAGTGAGGAGAATTAATCAAGCTTGGAGCCTTTGGAGCTGTGAGTAATGAGGATGGAGATGGGCCACCAGGAAGATGTGATGAGGATTCAGAATGAAATTTAGGGCAGGGAAGTACCCTATCTCAAGGCTTTTTTTTTTTCTTCCTCTTCTTTTTTGTCAGTTGACAGACTTTTAAGCCATCTTCCTTTCCTGTCTGATTTATCTCATACAGAAGATCTTGCAAGTTCAATGAGTTCTCTTACCATCACTTTGAATGTGTTGAACACAGTACATGACAAGACTGAAATCAGAGGATAAAATACTATTTTATTTTATTCTGTGCATTATATTCAGCTCTTATCCACAGTCATGTATAAAATGATGTAAGAACCAATGCATATGATTTAATGGTAATTACCAGTTTCTAAATTGAACTATTTAAAACAGCATTGCACAGTTGACTGAACAAAGCTGATCAACTTGTTAAGGATTTAAGGAGTCTCATAACAAAAGGCATTATTCCTCACAAGTCTTTACCAAGCCCCACCAACATACTGTATATCAGTGTCTCATTTTCAACTGCATAAGCCCTTCAAATCAAAGCACCGTTTGTTTGGCCTTTTGGTTGTTAGTAATCTCATCAGAAATAGCTTTTCATTACTGAGCAAAGATGCCTGGGCTGCTTTGGTCTGAAGCCCAGAATTAAAGGAACAAGACTACATAGTACATTTTACCCACTGCCTTTCTTAGCAAACACCTAAAAATGGCAATATACATCATCCATACGGCAATTCCTATGTTGAGGAGATGGCAATACAATAAATGTGAGTGTCACAATCACAGCACCTTTATTGCTTTTTTCTACACATTCTGCAATGAGTTCACTGTGATTTATAGACATCGCTGGTCCATCAGCCTTGCAGTGGCCATGTGAGAGGCAACTGATGTATCAAAGCAATCATAGCTCTTTGAGTAGACATGCTCTATAGTGATGAAAGAGTGACATCATACAGAATATAAAATATGATGAAGTGTCAGGCAGCTGTAATAAGATCTGATTACTGAAACAGTGGTGAAGCAGATGCATGGTGTTACATCAATAAAAACAGAGCAACAAGATATGTGAAATCCCACTGAGTCTGCTCACAGAATGACTTGATTTTTATAGCACACACTTAAGCCATCAGCTTGCCTTCAATTTTAAATTAAACAATCAGAAAGAAAATATCAATGCCTCGAAGCCCTCAATTCAGAACATCAAACAGTGAGACCACAATGGGATAGACAGGCCGTAAAGGTAAATAACTGCCTTAAAGTCATTCTACCAAAACCTATACTCATGGGATAACCCTGATGTAATGGATTCTCCTTGAATTTCAATCTAAAGTAGAATTACCTAAACTCTTCTAAGAAATATCAGCTATCAGCTATTGGAGAAGCCCCAAACTCTTTAAGAGCTTCATAATGCTCAATTAAGTATGAAAATGGGAACATTTCCTGTCTGGGTGGAATTCCAGCAGAAATGTAAATTGGCCACAATTAGGTCACTTACTATTAGACATGCTGAAATAATCTGTTAAAGAGGCAATTAACAAAAAATAAATCACCTGTCAAGTATTTCAGCTACAGGCATATAACCATTGTTTATTGAAACAGAGCAGAAAAGTAATGGCCAAGGCTTGCCTGGATTTTTTTATATCATTCCTTATCACTGGTCACACATGTTCATACAGGAACATGTGTGACCAGGCTACTAAAATATGTTTCTGAAAAGATTTTCAGATGAGATATAGACAATGCAGTAACAGAATCGGATCTTGATTCATACCTGATCACCTCTGCCTAGTTTGAAATGAGTTTTAAATGAAAAAAGTTTTATTTAGCATGTCTTCAGGATATAAATTGGAGAAGAGGGGATTTACAGAAACTCAGTTTTCTTAGATATCCTGATTGTCTCACGTTTTCCCAGAACACATAAACACATAAACCAAACACTGGCTGTAGATAGGGCCTTCTAATCGTCCAATCGTTTTGAGTTACTTGTATTCAGCTTGATAGCTTGTTGGGATAAGTTATTTTTGATCACTTATTGGCAAGGATTTACTGTAAGTGCACCTAGTGAAGCCCAATTAAGAATATCTTCACTCCTTGTTGAAGAGTGAGTGACAAGGCCTAAGCTGATGTACTGTTGAGGTTTCCCTCAGAAGAGCAATCTACACTACAGAAAGGCAGGCCAGGCTGTCTAGTTAGCACCTCGGTGGCGGCTCTCTGTGGTTCCCCATGACTGGAATGAAAGCTATGCAGCATGACATTTCATCAATATAAGGAGGGTAGGCTGAGGGGGTTTAATTCCTAATCCAGCTGGTTTATGTGGGCTCAGGTCTACTCAAGAGCCTATTCAGATGCATTAGAGGTACTGTACATGGAAGGACAAGCATGACAGGACACTGGCACCATTTGGACCTTGTGCTAGTAGATTCTATGCCCTGTTGTGACAGACACGGCCGACGTGTCAGAAGCCAGTATTTCCAGTTATCATTCAATCTACGAGCAGTTTCCATGGTGTGCCATTTCACCTAAGCAGATTTGGTGGACATGTCCCATATGTTTTTTGTTTTTTAAAAAACAGAATGTTTTTGGGACACAGGATGTAATTTTGTTGGTGGGAAACACACTTAGAGACATGCTAGCAACCTTTGACTAAAATGCAATTTACCACCAGAAAATAAAATAGTTGATTGATTGGCACCAGAGGTGAGTCTTAGTTGTTAGCAGAAGAAAAAACGTATACAATAGTCGTTTTAGAGACTTTGAGCAGCATTGTCAGCTATTGCCTCAACTATTAGGCTCTGCTGTTCTTTGAGCTGAATGCTAATAGAATCATGCTAACATATGTATGTACAGGTGTCATGTTAGCACGGTGTATGAGCATGCTTCTGGGGACCATAGATGTGTGTATCACAATCCATTCAGTAGTTGTCCCTCTGGACCAATGTACCAACAGACTGACAGCACTGAACAGTGTTGCCATTTCTAGTCCCATGCTGCTAATGTGGCAAAAAAACAAACGGGTTTCCATGGAGAGAACATAACAGGAATTAAATATAGTTACCTCCCATAAGGAAATTAGATCAGCAACTGCATAAACAAAGTGTGTTAAAATCAACCGTTGATGTTTATCACCTGCTGTGTAGTGACATCTGTTTTGTGTCAATATTTTCTAATGCACAATAAGCGGCGCTAATAACACATTTTAAAAAGGTATAACACATAAAATTTGAATCGTTGTGTGGACTGTAGTGGACATTCTGGTACTTGACCTTGAGACCCTTAATGCCTTGCTCTTCATTTGATCTTCCCTTTCCGAAGTCACAACTGCCTCAAAGCCATGACAAGAAGAGCTTAGACCACATAAATGTCATAACCTTGATTATGTAATATTTTGTAATATAAGAAGAACACAGCAGACAAGGGGATAAGTACCTTGTTCACAACGTTTGATCTTCAGTAGCAAGGCGTTAGGGTTCAATTCAGAATCAAACTGTAAATTTGTTTCAACATCATACCATCTTCAAGTTCAGTGGAGTGTATGACTTCCAGCTACATTCTTATATTAGCTTCATAGTCCAAATTAATAGCAATATCTCTCTGCTAGCTACCACCCAAGGTCACCATTAAATTACCATAGTTAAAGCAGCTCGTAATGCTGAATGTTTCAATCACAGCCTCGGGTGACAGCTCAAACTCAGATCTGTATTATTTAAAATACTGACTCATTTGCTTGTATTTTCAGCAATAAAGAATCTACTTAACAGAAACTGCAGGCACCACTAAATGAACTGCTACCTGATTCTTTCCCTCTGACAGTTATACGTGTATGGTATCTGTAATGTTGTATCTGCAAGAATCAGATTCCATAAACAAAATGAACTCACCAATCATTTTCTTGTCAGCAACTGTTCTGTGAAAGATGAGTACGCTGTCATCAGTAATTACTGCAGCGAGAGATAAACTTCACCACTAACTTGTCATTGGTAGCCCTTCCCTCTCCCTCAGGCTATTCATCCCTCTTTACCTCATCCTGTGCCCCCACCCTGCTCCCCCTTAATAATAACCCACCCGCTTTGAGCATCCATCTGCCTAAACAGAAGAAGGCTATCCTTGACAGTCACTGTCTAGGCACAAGCTTGCAGGCAGCAAAATCAAACATGTTTTCCCAGAGGAATTAATATCTAGTAAAACCCAGGAGGCAGCAAGTTTATACCACATCTATAAACCAGTCTCAGTGGGAGTGAGAACAGAGCTGCAGACAGGTAAACCAATCTCACTCTCTGTATGTTTGTGTCTGTGTGTGACCGAGGGTACATCCTGACATGGGTCAGCCCTTACTTCTTTATGTTATCCAGGTGGATTAGAGTTCATGAAATGATAGAAGTAGAACACCTAGGGGGATTTACAGGATGCTCTTGAGTCTAATCTTGGGTTTCTAGGATTAAAGCATTGATTTTCACTCTTTGTTATGATGGTGGTGTGTGAAAGAGATTATGTCTTTCAGTCCGCTATCACCTTTATTTCCAACCCATGATATAAGAAATATGATGTAATTATCACTGCCACTTTGAATATGTACAGATAAATGAGATATCCATCTCTTTGTCAGATTATCAATGTATTTATCATTGCAGTACTTTTAATGCATTAATGTACTGAGAGCATTTAATCCTGAGCATTTTATTTCTGAGAATGGAGATCTCAGAGTAGCAATAGTCTGCAGTCAGGCTTTGTGTAACCATGTGAGGTTACAGGGACACAGCTAACTATAGCTTGGAAGCTGTGCACCATCAGTGTTTGTTGTGCACTTAGTATGACTTGGCCTCTAGATGACCACGGTTTTAAAATTTGTAAGCCCTCAGATCCATCCTGAATATAACAATGTGCCTAAGCTTTCTTGTAAAAAACAACTTTACGTAATAGTTTTTGTGTCACATAACAAGTAATTGCTACCACCCTTTTCTGAATACATTTGTAAAGGCTACCTTCAGAGAACAAATGATTTCAACAGAAGCTTTTCAATTGCAGTATCTGGTTTAATCAACACTTTGCATGAGTACATGTTTTCCCAACAGTGTGTAATGCCCACAGGAACTAACAAGCCTCAAGTTATAATAAACATAATAGGTTCACCTTTTGACCTTGCTCTACATATATGCCTCAAAGCATGGGTATACAGTAGATCTGGCAATTTTATGAGGCATGTAACCTACACAAACACATGTTAGAGCTGACTGTCAACATAATGGCAATATGTGAATCTGACTATGATGGTCTCTCTTTCATCCACTTAACAGAAGATTCGGTAAATTCTAGTGCCAGTACCTGTAAAATGAGAACATGCATTTTGAATGAAGTACTTGCTATTCTACAGTATATACGTTCACCAGCCTGAAGGTGCTTTAGAAAAGAAGGACTGGATATTTTGGCTAAGTGGCTGTCTGAATGAGTCTGAAAAATGATAACTATTTAAATGAAGTAAAGCTAATCTAAATTTCAGCACAGAGTATTATCATACTGTACTGTAATACTAGCTTGTGATCTGGAAAATGTAAAAAAAAAAAAAAAAAACACTACACATCAAGAAGAACATGGTCTCATTATTGGTATTAATGGTTATGTTCACATTCTATCTGCAGGTCCTTTTGACAGTTAACTCTTGCCAAAATGTGGAAAAGGGCGAAGAACACAGGTCCCAGCACCAACAGACGAAGTACAGTACTGCAATTCCTCCTTCCAATTGAAATGTCTTTTTTCTGCTTATTACTGTTCCATTTTACAGATTTAAGTGATAATAAAGTGGCCTGGTGTCCATCTATTGCAAACATAAATTGGTGCCACAGCAGACTGAAGCAAACAAGTGTCAGAGGAAGTTGTGAAAATCATTTTTTTCAGATACATTAGACAATGATAAATGACTGGTTTTATTATATATATATATATGTATATATTATATGTTCATTTTAAATAAGCCAGTTTTCTTTTTTTCCTCTTTTTATTTTTGTTTTACATTTACATGTAATTTCTTCCACTGTCTTTAATGGGCATTCATTTAATGGGAAAATATTACATACTGCTGTAAAATATAAATATCGCCTAAAGGTGAAATGTTACTAAGATCATGTCTTAGTCTAGACATCAAGTAATATACACCTTCACTGTAAAAAACAAAAAAATACTATACTGTAGGCTCTGCTGAAAGGATTACGCAGGGGAAAAATCACGACTCAAGTGAACATTGACAACACTGTTTTATACCACTATTTGATGGTGATTATCTGCAGTGACAGCCAGAAAGATTCTTTGACATGAGCAAACCAACTTAATTATTGTCTCATATACAGAAAACTGTGTGTAAGCCAATTCATCACCAAAACCGGTGGGAATGAGCTCACACTAATCCTGCCAAAACACAACAAATTGTTGCAGTCAACAAACAATTAAGAGTAGAAAAGCACTCCATGTTGTATACGCTGACGGATTGGCACATCAAGACAGGGGCTTTAACACACTTTGAAACATAAAGTATTCGGTTGTATAAGCAAAATGAGCAATGCTCAGTCTTCAACAATACTTTATAGAATTACTTAAGAAATACTGTCTTCTTTAACGCAGAAAATGAGAGTCTGGTCCTTTATTTAGTGTTTAAACCCAATGAATGCCTGACTACTATCTTAGAATTTTACTATGAACAATCTACCCAAAAACTATTATAGTGCTACAACAATTGGTGCTATTTAAGTATGATTGAACGAATATGGGAATATGACCAAACATATATTTGTTTGAATCTGCTATAATACATGTTCTTATAATAACCATACATCAAATGACAATGTGAAACAATCCAATAATGTGAAAGGGGTCTCCGTGTGATGAAGCTAGTGAGAATTATCAGCTAAATCTGCAGCTTTCAACAGCTTTATAGATCTTTATTTTCACCTCTTTGCTTAGATGTCCGGCCCAAAACGTCACTGTTTTGATTCATTCTCACTGCTCTCAAACTGTGGCATTGTTTTCGGCTGCAGCAAGTAGCTGTTTCAGTGAAAAAGCTCTAAAAACCCACTGTACACAACCTGCTCAGCATCAAACAGCAGACAGACAGTTAGTGATTAGGTGGTGAACATAGTGGAGCATTTTGCAGCTAAAGAGCCAGTTATATCGGGAGTTGGTGGGGACCAAAAACGGAGCTAAAAGAGAAAGAATATTGCAGATGATATGTCACTATTGTCAAGTTGTTTCTGCTGCCCCCAAGTGGCCAAACTCAGTTGTTGCAGGTTTAAAGAAACAATTATTAAAACTTTTGTAACAGCATTTGACATGGTATCTGTAAAAGGCAATGCAATGTGAAAATCACTCCAACCCCATGATGTGCAGCATCTCAATTTACTTCATTTCAGAAGTATGCAAGTTTAAGTTTGCCCAACTGACAGGCACTTCAACAGTCAGTTGACTAAAGGTCCTCTCTCTCAGGATTCAGTGATAAACTGAGGGTGAGAAGAAAACATCCCTGGATTAAGGTTGCCTGCTTGCTGCCCTTTACTGTGACCCTCTCAGTGCTTCAGTTTATTCAGGCCTCTATGAGCTTTCCTTTTCCACATTATGCTTGACTGGGTCTTCACATCCAGCCTCTCCGCCATTTATTCTTGTCTCTCACTCAATTACTTCTCTGTCTCACTCTGTCTATCTCTCTATCTATATCACATACACCCAAAAATAACGGCAAATAAGTGCACCATAAAACTTGGGTAATCATCAACATTTCTGCAAATATAAAGAAATGTCAGCAGGACACTTAATGTCCTGTAGCCATAGCATAGCATGCACTCATGTACTTCTAACTGAACAAGTGTCTTTTTTTCTCCATCAGGCTTCTCCATCGTTCATCAATACATTCAACGTTTTAATGAGGTGTCCGGCAACAAGACAGGTGAAATGAAAGAGCTGTTTTATTTTCAAACATAGAATGTGTTTTTTTTCCATGCAGTACTGTGCTGTTTGAAAACAATACTGAGCTACATCCATTATTATGAATAATGGAATAAATATTGAATAATACATCAGGTAATATTGAATACTGTGTTTGCTTGTGACCTGTCCTGTCTTTGTGTTAATCTGAAATCTGAAATATCTATTTGCTACCGTGTCAAATCAGTCGTGCTTAGTTCCACGTCTGACTGATTCTCCTATTTCAGTCCTTGTCAGAATAATCGTTAATCCCTGGATTAATGTTGTTCGTCATCGACTCTTGTGTGATCCTCTATCTGTGCACATCCAAACCCTGATGTGAAAGTGAATATGTATACTATAGCTGAAACAAACAGGAGATTAATCAATTAGTCGATCAACAGAATAACAATCTGCAACTATGGTAATCAATTCATTGTTTCAAAAGGACCAGTGTGTAGGATTCAGTGGCATTTATTGATGAAGTTACAGACTGCAACCATTTGAATACAGCTCAGCTTTCCAGGAATGTGGGAGATATCTCTATCTCCAACACCAAATCACCAATTTCTAAGTCTATAACATGATTATCCTGATTTGTGCTAATGAGCAATGAGCTGGCACGACTGGTATAATAGAGGTAGAATAGCGGACACCTATACTCTGTAGAAACATGCAGCTGTCATTGGTTGAAGTAACTTTTCAGTAAACTCATAAACAACAGGAATATATTGGGCTTGTATGTACATAGTTACTTTTTTTTAATCTGAGATTTGTGTGTAGCATTTCCCATTTATTTGGTCGTAAGAAAGTGTTTGCACACACACACACACACACACACACACACACACACACACACACACAGCATCACATTGAATACTTTTGAAATTCCTGACATCTACCGGTACCAAAAAAGAAATCTGTTTAGTTCTACCAAAAGCAGCACTCCTATTTGGTCTAAATATTTATGTCCTGAATTGATTTTGGTTTGGTTTGTTTTTAATTGCAGGTTATAAAATACTTTACTTCGCTCATAATTAACTGGTTTTTATTATCATCTTTGCTGGCTTTGTTTAGCTGTCATCCGAAGAAGATCGAAGACTCCTGGAGTAATGATCACGCAGTATGTAGTAAACATGCCAGAGGGAAAAAGCACCCCAGATTTCCAGTGTAAACCAATCCCAGTAACCATTAAAGAAGGTGGGTTTAATTATGACACAGAACTAAAATTGACATATCTATGCAATTGTATAGTCACCTAACCCAGTATCTCCCACCTCCACTGATTAAGACTGCTTCACTTTAACCTGCTATGCACAACTCTTTGCACAAACTTTACCTTGTAATAACTTCACATGTACAGTTAGTTATACAGTTTAAAATATTTTTGCACACCATATTTCTTACTGCATATAGTGTATATATTTTCATTATAGTCTTTATATTTTCTATGATGTCTATATTTTTATTTTATTGTTCTTTATTGTATTTTTACACTTGCCCCTGTGCTGCTGTGTCAAACTTGAATTTCACCCACAGTGGATAAATAAAGGAACATCTTAAAAGAAAGGCATGATAATAAATAACTAACCAACAAAAAACACAAGAAGCACCACATTTGCATCTTTTTCCAAAAAAAAAAAAAAAGTTATATTTCTATATATCCTTCAGGTAAATTAGCTGTTTTCAAGGCCATGGTGATAGGGGATCCAAAACCAGAGGTGTCATGGAGAAGAACCAAAGGGACAATATCAGACAAGGACAAATTTCAGAGTAAATATGATGAATCAACTGGAGAGCATATATTAGAGGTGAGTAAATTATTTCACCAATAGTAAAACTCCTTTGAGAAGATACTGCTTGAACTTTAACAGCTCATTAACACTGTACAGTATTAAAGTAAGAGCTCTCTGTTATGTGAATTCAGTCTTGTGCATCAGATAATTTGCTATGTTACATGTTTGTGTTTCTAGATTCACAAAGTGTCTGCTGTGGAAGCAGATACATACAAATGCTACGCTGTGAACGAATATGGCAAAGCTGTCTGCACAACAACACTGAACGTGACTGAGGGTAAGAGTTGTTCACACAATACAGTTATAAACATGACCTGTGATATGTGTTTTTATTGTGAATGTCAAGGAGTTGGTAAGTCTATAACTGGCATTGTATTTTACTTTAACACTTAATCTCATTTAATTGAGAGTTTGTATATGTAAGTACTGAGAAACATGTGGCCATCATGAGCAACTCCTACCAATGTGTAGTTCCCCCATAGCTTTATCTGACGTCAAATCTACAGTATAGCTGTAAAAGACATTAAGAAATACTGAATTTGCTGCTTTCAGCTTCAACAAATCCATCAGATTTCAGAAAACTGCTGCGGAAAAGGTAAAAAAACAGATATTATGATAGTGAGATATTAAAATACCTTATAAGATATTTCTGCATGTGTGTGGATTTTATCACTGATTCTTGTGTGGCTGTCAACACTTTTGCTTAATACCTTTAGTAAAGTAGAGCAAAACCAGGAAAAACAAGCAGATGGGGAAACTGATAAAAGATTCTGGGACACGATGCTGAACGCTGACAGGAAAGACTATGAGCGTATCTGTACTGAGTTTGGTTTTGCAGACTTGGATTTGATTCTCAAGAAACTGGAGGAGAAGAAGAGGGACAGAGTGCCTAATATGTGTAAGGTATGAAAATTGTCAGTTCTCAAAGTAAATGCATTATCTCCTGCTAAATCATCAGTGTAGTTGTTAACAAGCTATCATGGATTTCACATTTCACTGAAGACATCTGGCACTAATTAAAGTCATTTTCATTCTGAATATTCAGCAAACTTAACATATTTTTGTGTGTTGTGATAGCTTAATAGTTCAAATGCAGCTATCAGTTAAAATTAGCGGGAGAACTGTGTTTCAAATATTAACTTAGGACAAATTATCATCCATTTTTATTGCTCATTCATCTAAATAATTCTGCCACTTCCACTGCCATCTCAATCAGCTGTTTCCATTGCTTGTCAGTATCATAAACCAGGTATAATTATGTTAGATAACTTTGCTTTATTAGAGCTAGAAATTGTGCTTAAAGAAGCACAGTGAGACAGATTAAGATTATCTGTTGAGCTCTTTTAAAGTATTAGATTGACTGTCTGTAATTACTCCCCATTTGCTATATAGTGAATGTTACCCTCTGTCCATGATATGTGCACTGCTCTACGCTAACAATACCACAGTACAATGTGTCAAATGTTATAAATAGACTTCACCACCCATGTGAAGCTTCAGCAGTAAAATACTATCCTATTATTTATTTATATTGATTATATAATTAATATAGCTATTTTAAAAGAATAAGGTTCATCAGTTTGTAATTACTGAAATACAGTTTATATATTCACCTTTTTGGTTTTTATCAGAGCTATCCTTTGACATTTTTTTAAAAACATGCACAATATAGTAGTATAGAGTATGGTGAAATTACCTTTTTTAAATAGTCTAGAAGAAGTAGAATATGAAAGCTTTAGGTTATCTGTAACTTGTCTGTGTACTTGGTAGGATGGTGTAATTCCCTATGATGAAGATGCAACAGAGAAACACAGCCTAAAGAGTGCTGGGAGGACAGATTTTAGAATCAAGGGCCTGATGCAAAAGGACACCGGGCTAAATCCGGTGGATGAAGACGTCATCCTTCTCAACACAGGCCTGAATCAGGTGGATGAAGACGTCAACCTCTTCCCTACAGACTTCAAACGTAGGTTCAAGCAAGGAACATTGGAACTGAAAATCTTTACAAATCAGAAAATTCTTTGGGCGCATGGGAGATCAACTGGTAAGGCGAGGGATTCCAACCTGCGGCTCTTTGCTAAAGGTTGTCCCCCCCTTCTCTCTCTCTCTCTCTCTCCCCCCTTACCTGTCTACCTTCACCTGTCCTAGCAAAATAAAAAGGCATAAAAATATCTACCAAAAACAAGAAAAGAATTATCATTGTCCCTGTGTATCCATCCAGGGTTTCTGATCTCTGAATTGAATTTAAAGTAGAAAATTATACAAAGACAGCTTGCATTTAAAACGCACAAATATTGTAGCGAGACCCCACCACAGTAATGGCAACTTGTTTACTTCAGGTTAACAACTCAGATTTGTGTATACAGATCACCTATTTTAGTAGCTTCGTCTAACAAACTGAATAGATAGTTCACCGACTTCCCTGTATTTCTTTTACAGTTTCCAATGTGGACTTTGTTATAAAAATTCAAGAGGTTAAAACTCAAGAAAGAGAGGCTGCCCTTTTTGAGTGTGTCCTGACACACCCTATACCCCAGATCACATGGATGGGCAAGGGTAGTGTCCTGGAGGATGGAGAGAAATACAGCATAACCGTGTCAGACCACAAATTGATCCATAGGCTGATGATCAAGGACTGCAAGCAGCTGGACAAAGGCATCTATTCAGCTGTAGCTGGCATTACATCCTGCAGTGCCTGGCTGGTTGTGGAAGGTAACATCTTAAAGTATTATGCGCTAATAATCAATTTGTCAAAGTGTGCTGAAGTGATCCTTATTACTGCCATAATTATGAGTTATATGTCATGTATAATGTATTTTATATCCTCTAAGCTGAGAGTGACCCAGCGTCTGCTGGTAAGAAGAAAGCTCATAAAACTACCTTGGCTGGTGGAGCACGGGCTGACCTTGAGAAAGTGGCAAGAGAACAACAAATAAAAAACCGAGAGGAAATGGAGAAGATTTTAGCATCTGTAAAAGCAAAATATGAAGAAGGACAACAGAAAGACAAGAAGACATTAACCACTAGTGAAAGAGATGGTGAAATAACTGCAGTCACTGGACCGGGTAAAGATGGCAGAGCAGTAAAGGACAAGACTAATGCTGCAAAAGCCAGTGCCATGTCTGACTCAACTGGGAGCAAAGATAAAGCAAAGATCCAAAACTCAAGAGGAGATGGCACAGTTACAACATTAGATGTTTCAGAGAGCGCAACAAAAGCAGAAATGCAACTGAGAGTAGATGAACCCAAGAACAAGAAACACACTAGATCTGGTCAAGCGGATTTTGACAAGGTAACAGGTAAAGTCGATCTATGCCTAAGAATCAGCACTGTGAGTAGTCAGTGGTGTTTTAAAATGTGTGTTTATGGTGTGTGTTTGGGTTTTGTTATTTCAAAAGAATAGGAGAGTGGACTAACTTTTAATATAATTGACATACCACAGATACAAATGAAGGAGGTTATTCCGAAGAGAATGAGGACTTCAATGAATCTGCCAATAATTCAAGACACATAAAACATGGTCAAGAGACAGATAATAGAGAAATTGGTAAGACAACTGCTTTTAATATCCCTACTTATGTAAATGGACCATTTTTTTATGGTTGACAACACTTTTAAAAATGTGTTTGGTTAACATCCATGCTTATTTTCTGTCTGTCCAGAATCCAGCAGCAAAAATGTTGATGTTCAATTAAGAACGGATTCTGATGGAAATATAGACTCTACTGGATCGGTCAGACACCAAAAGCACACAAAGAAGGTCCAATGGAAACCAGAAACATCTGGTAAGATATATAGCCAAACAAAGGATCGAAAGTCCGTTCTTAAATCATTCACGGCGCACAAGGCTGAGCATCTAGAACATTGCTAACAGCATTATTTTCTTTTTAATTAGTGTAAACGTAGTTTTAAATGTTCTTAAAATTCACCGCAAGAAATTGTGCTTTGTTCTAATAACAAACTTGTGAACTTTTACCATGATTGAATCTCAGCTATACAGATGGTCTTTGCCCTTTAGTGCTTGGATTAAGTGTGATATACTGAGAAGAGCCCTTTTATATTGCTGTCAAATTTCATGGGGCCACCACTAGGCTTTCTTAGCACTACGTTTGCTGTTGAACTTCAAAGGAGACCGGGAACAACACTACAGTTAATGTTGATATATTGACAAACATTAAGACCACAAAAGACGAGTTGTGTCTAGGTTGCAATGTAATAGATTGTATGTACTGATTTTGCACAATGCTTTCTAAATATAAGCAGCTGAGTGATAATATGACTGCCAATATCTGTCAACATTAACTATGAATCTTGATCAGCCGTTTACCACCTAATTCAGCATATAATTCTGTTGGGTTTGCTGTTTTTTGCACCAAAGATTAGAAAAATTGTAAATCCATTTGTCGTTCCGGTTATGGTTCATTGCGATGCCTTTGAAACCCATAATCCATAACTTTTAAATTACAGATGTAAATTTAAATTACCGACCAGGTAACGTAAACATGAATACATTACTAACTGATGTGCTCCTCACAAAACACCTGATCAACATCACTCAGAGATTAAATTCAATTTTGTTATATCTGACATACCACAGATACAAATGAAGGAGGATATTCTGAAGAGAATAAGGACTCCATTGAATCTTCAAATAATTCAAGATACCGAAAACATGGTCAAGAGACAGAACAGAAAGAAAATGGTAAGACAACGTAGAAATGTAGAAAATGTACTGCCCTTCATATCCACATCTATGTAAATGGTAATCTTTGTGATTGACAAAACAATTCGAAAAGTTAGGGGGTAGAACGGTAAATAAAATTTACAGTTCGGCTCATCATGGTTTTGGCATCACGGTTTTCGGTTCAGTTCAGTACGTTTTACTACAGCAAGGGGGGAAAGGCATTGCCATTTTCAATATGCTTTTCATGTATTTGGCAAAAAAAAAATGTTTGCCTTACACTTCATTGTCAAATCTTCATTAAAATAATGTGTTTTTTTAATAAGTTCAGACACAAATGCTGATTCATTTTTATATAAAATGGCCACATTACTAATCACAAAAATATTCGAGAGAATAGGCTACTTCACTACAATAGGCAATACAATACATTACTTTATATAGTAGATTAATTCACTACTTAAGTCACAAACTACTTTAATCTGCTCACTTTGCTGGTCCCCCACCCGTGATTCAGGTTAAACAACAGCAGGTGTGTCAGGTGCGTGTGGAGGTGTATTGTTGTTAATCAATCCAATCCAACGTTGTACCGAATGACATCAGCACCAGCTGTTTACTGCTGTTTACTCTTGCTTCACCTGGTCCGTGATTGTAAAATTGCCACCGTATCTTCACTGTGTTTCTCTGGGGATCAGTGGGATTGCCACTACTTACTGGGAGGGAGAGATGCTTTACTGAAGCAAAGGCGCAAAACACAATGTTACCTCATAGCCTATTTCAACTGAACTGAACACTACATACATGCTCCGACCCGTGACTTGCGAACCGAACAGTTTAGATTTTTTTACTCGAACCGTTCCATCCCTAAGAAACGTGTTTTGCTCAGTTAAATCCATACTTATTTTCTAAACCATATTTATTCTTTCGTGTGTTATGTCTGTGCAGAATCCAGTGGCAAAGGTGTTGATGTAGAGTTAAACCAGATTCAACAACTTTCCAAAAGTCAAAATGAAGTGATTGATTCTGATGGAAATATAGACTATACTCGGTCTGTCAGACGCCAAAGGCACACAAGGAGAAGTCAACGGAAACAACACACATCCGGTAAGAAACAACAAGGAACATACTGACTGCTAGAAGTGTGAATCTTCACTGGCCTCACTGTTCCATTTCGATTATGATTCATCTGTCAGGGATTCAATGCATTTAGCTCAATGTTTGTCCTTATTTCAATACAAGAGAACGTTGTTTAAAACTTAATTGTCCAGCCGTCGACGGATAATCAACAATCAATGTCAGTAGGCCATAATTTTGGCTGTAGGTTGCAAATTACAGATTATGTTGTGTCACTGCATCAATGTAGAACTTTCCTCATCCGCATCACGATGCATTTTAAAATTGAGAAATTTCCACACTATTAATTGCATGGAGGAAATGTACCACAGTTACCCCTCACACTTATCAGATATGCTGTATAGTACAGTACTGACAGAAGAAACTGAGTGAGAATTATTAAACTACTAATGTAGTTTAATAAAATGTTAAAAATAATAAAACTGCAATGCAATAGTGTTCTGAACTTACTGAAAAGCCACTGTGTACATCTGAGTGTATACTACCTGAAGTCTGTGACTACAACACAGATCCAAATGAGCTAGCAAGTGACGATGAAGCAAGTGACAGTGATGAGAATGAAGACTCTACTGGCCAGAAGAATTCAGGTTCTTCAAAGGAAAGCCAACAGCCACAGAAAGCAGTCAATGGTAAGAGACCACAATTGGTAATAGTACGGGTTAATGGCCAGAAAATAACTTGTGCTTCCTGAAGCAGTTAATATTGTTTCACAGCTTGTTCTTGTGAGTGAAAGGCGAGTTAGTATTTTTTGGGGCTTTTTTATTGCCTTTTTATGATAGTGACAGCTGAAGACAGACAGGAAAGGGGGGCAGAGGTCAGATTCGAACCCTGGGCCACTGCAGCAACTTACTGACTCGTTTAATAAGCCCCACATACTGTATAACTCTATTGAGATTGTCAAAAGTATTGATACTTACATACTGATACTTTTTTCAATACCACATATATAAAACGATACAACCTCCATAGGTTCGATAGTATCCAAAGTACCAAAGCTATCAGGTCTACAATCAGATTTTCAATTGCACTCTGCTCTGCAGAAAAACACAGGGGGAGAGACATTCTCTGATATTGTATTGTGAATTAAGTAGAATTAATATTGTGAAATAAGAAATAGCCTACTAGAAATAGTAGGTGTGTTTATTGACTGTATGTAGGTTGTTATTATAACAAAGAAAAAATATTCTATTTTGTGCACCTAGGACTTTTATTTCCTTTTCTGCTGTAGTATTGAAAGAGGTATCAAGTATCTTTTTTATACCAATACTGTATCAAGGTTTAAAATTATTGTATTATGATAACCTTAAACTCTTATTGTACACATAATTTCTATGGAAGTGAATCGTGACCAAAATTTAAATTAAAATGCATTTGCAGAAATGCTTTTTCATTTTAAGAATGTGGCTGCATTATTTGACTCATAAATAAAATTAATAATCAATCATCCTATTTTCATTTGCATTTTCTTCTTAACTGCACATTTTACGGTAAAGCAAACCCCCGAGTGTAATAATGCGATTATACAAAAACCACCAATAACAATACAGAAGAGCAGCTACTGACGTCACTCTCCTGCGCCGCTCAGATTGCCAAATCGTTTTCGAATTATGGGCACTATTTTGCGGGGCAGATAACGAAAACTAAAAAGCAATCTCCTCTTTGTTTTCTTTTTGACTATGGCATAAAATGTGCAGTTAAGAAGAAAATGCAAATGCAAATAGGATGATTGATTATTAATTTTATTTATGAGTCAAATAATGAAGCCACATTCTTAAAATGAAAAGGCATTTCTGCAAATGCATTTTAATTTACATTTTGGTCACGATTCACTTCCATACATTTCTGCGCACTCTGAGACTGTTATGATGGTATAATTAAACACATCTCAATCAGTTCAGAGTTAAATATTTTGATTTTTAAAAAGATGAAAGTGCAGGTCCTAAAGACCACAGCGAGTGTGACGAGACTGAAGATGCAACTGGCTTTGCCACACACTCAAGGCGTAAAAGACAAGGCCCACTGATAGAAGATATAGTGATTGGTAAGTAACATAAAAGGTGACTGAATCACAGGAAGGGGTTCCAGTTGGATGCATCGCATAATCAAATAATCAATACATTTTTCATTTCAGTACTACTCTACACAGCACTAGCTAATAGTGTTGAATTCCAGCTGGTTAATGTTATGTGCATAGAGTATGTGTGTATTTATATGACATTTTCGTATGTTATTAATACTTCAGAACTTGGAACCTAATGCAGCCACCACAAACTAAAAGCTTCATAAAACATAATCATTAATTGACCATAACATATAGTACCATAACTCTGTTATAGTTTGTAGTAGGGCTGTCAGTTTTATTCAAACATTGTTCAAAAGTGGTTAATTTTTTAAGTGTAAAGACCTTAAATTGCAGTCTATAAATGCAACAGATTGTCTGAAGTAGTTTGCCTTATAATCCAGCAGAGGGGCCTATGGCATGCCCTATTGAGCTGTCTGTAAACTATGCTAGTCATGTTAAATTGTTTGCTATGAAAATGGAGGACTCTAGCAAGCAAAGCATGGAAAGGAGCCAATCCGAAAAAGTGACAGCCCTAGTTTGTACACACTGGTTTTGCATGTTTAACCTTAAATCACTTTGACAATTTGTATACTGTCAACAACAAATGAGAAAGAATCTGGGAGAAAGACTGCATTACAACAATGCAAACATAAATCCATTTAGAGAGAAGTCACAAAAAAATATCACTTCCAACTACAATCAATTCCTCTGCAACTGATAATGGTCTTCTTTTCGACTCATTACTCATTTATTCACGATCATCCCTGCATGTTGTTTATCAATTTGCTCTGTATTCCATGTTGACTTGCTGTTTTGACACAGCAGGGAGCCTCTCCAAGAGCTACACTGAATAAAAACAAATTCTTCTGTCATCTTTATTTAGTATATAACATGAGTGTTCCTGACAGATCTGTATTTGGCTAGAGAGAGTCAATACATTAAACAAAACAATGTACATTAAAGAAGAAAAGTGTGTTTTGAAAATATTGTAGCACATGTACGAACCGGAGAAAACAAAAAAGCTCCCTGCAGAGATTGCAGAGCTATCTGAACAATACATCAATAAAGAACATTAAGCACAATTTTACAAAACATAACGACGACAAAATGAAACATTAGCTATTCTTTCTGTCACTGTTAAACTTCTTTTGGATGTTAGTGCAAATAATCATAGTGCCTTACTGTTCACTGTTGTGTATGTTAGATCCAGGGGTTCAGTTCATCTGTGGTTTGTCTGATGTCACCGCGATCATCAATGAGAGTGCTGTGTTAACATGTAAGCTCAGCAGTGAAGACTGCGAGGGAGCCTGGTTCAGAGACGGCAAAAAGGTTAGTCGTAAAGGTCAAACTCATCATTTTCTTGAGTACTGTGTCAGTGTCTGTCAAGAAAGCGAATTATGGTGGCCTAGATATCTATGGTCACTTTCACACCTGTAGTTTGGGTTCATTTGGCCCAAGGGGAAAAGATGATACATTGTTGCCTTTTAGTTATGGTGCGGTTCATGTTCACACTGACCTTTTACAAACAAACTTGTAAGTATTAAGGCTGACAGATAACTGGGCAGTTCTGGTAACACCACCTTGCATCATCCAATATTGGTCACTGACACGATGTCAGTTAGCACCTTTAGGAGTATATTTATCTTTTCTGGTGTCACAAAAAGCTCACCAAGAAATAAGTGATTATGATTTTGGACTGTAACTGCGCTTTGTATATCAATTCAAGGATATTCTAGGCTATACAGTGCAGACAGATCGGGATATTGCTTTTCAGTTCACCATAAGCAGGTGGATTCAACTGTAGTTTAACTACTAAATTCATGCCAAAAATCACGTATCTACTTCTCACAGTCCTTAGATTGATCGGCTTTGCTTTGAGACTACAAATGAACCACACCAACTTCTTCTCGAAAGCGGGCAGAGACCCTCCTTTTCAGGCAGTCTCTGTCCCGTTGTTTAGTTCAACAGCTTTCACACCAGACTAAATGAACCACATTAAAACAGTAAACACACTAGAGTTCATTTGCCAGGGACCTTAGTTGAATGCCATCCCCTTTTTTTCTCTCATCTCATGTCTCTGTTAAAAATATATATAACATAAATGTTTAAAAAAAACACTTTCTTGATTGGGAATTTGTTATCCACTGATGGTAATTTCAACAGATTTAATATACTACGTGTTCACCTATGATGCACTTCAAACATTTGGCAGATTTTCTTTGGGCCAGTTTGGGACACAGCACAGCTGGGCACAAAGCCCTCTGGGCCATGCAATGTTACTGATTTCAACAACAAAATAACTCACAGTAGCTACATTTGTTTATTTTCATCTTTCTTCCCCTTTTACTATCAGATATCCCCAGATGACAATTTCACTATCACTAATGATGGTGCAATCCATAAATTAGTCATAATCAGGTGCAAGGAAGAGCACTCTGGGAAATACCGTTTTGAGGCAGATGGTCGTAAAACAGAGGCGATGATCAACGTCAAAGGTTTGAGAATTTGTCACAGCCACTGGTCCAAATCAGACTACAGCAAAATACCATATAAACACTGCACTGACCCTAACTGGCCTCTTTTTTCAGATCCCCCAAGGTTTGACCCTAAAGACTTCAGTGCATTCACTGAGCCTGTAAAAGTTAAAGTGGGGCACAATGCCATTTTTAAACTGCATTTTGTTGGCCATGAACCCATAAAGATTCAGTGGTACAAAGAGGGAGAAGAGCTCCAAGATGACAACAATACAAAGATTGAGAAATCTGCAAGTCACAGCCGCTTGCTCCTGAGCAGGTGCCAGAGGAAGGAAACAGGAGAGATCAAGATCAAGCTCAAGAACGAGCATGGCTTCACCGAGGCAATTTCACAGCTAATTGTGCTTGGTGAGTGAATACAGGACAATGCAGGAATTCAACAAAGGAAAATCTATCACCCACGTATTTTTTTGTATGCTGTAAATATAACAACAATAAAACTGTCAAATCAGTTGAAAGGAAATCATTAACATCTAACTCCTTAAAGAAAATTACCATCTTTATAGATGCCAAATGATGTGATTTGTGCAGCAACCTGAGCAGGAAGAACTACTTTACTCTTATAAAATCTGCAAACAGCAGTACCCTTAAATGCTTCATAGCTCATGTGGATAAAGGTAAAAAATAAATAAAAATCAGGCCAGTCTTTTCTCTAGCAGGTAAAAGGAGTGCCACATTTTACTGATCCCATCTGTGACAGGACATATTTAGGTACTCATTTTGCAAATGCAGCTCTCAAACTGCCATACTATTGACTGAAAAAAATATATATCAAGATTGGCTATTGTTCTTCTTGAAGCAGAATCCCAGGTTGTGATAATGTGACAGGTTAAAGATGTGTTTTGGAAATATATTTCAGAGCTTGACAAAAGTTGCTACATCTGCAAACACTGCCAGCATCAGAACTGTCAAATTCCACCATGATTATCCCTCAGCGGAAATACTGTTTCCCTAACATTAAGGCAGCATTCGCCTTCTCACATATAAAAAGTTAGGAAGGGTTTTCAAACTTTGAATTACCCTGTTTTTTGTTTGTTTCAGACAAACCTACTTCACCCCTGGGCCCTGCAGAGCTAACAGAGAGCTCAGCTGTATGTATTGAATTTAGGTGGAGGCCTCCAAAGGACGATGGTGGCTCACCAGTGATTAACTACATAATGGAGCGACAGCAAGTAGGACGCAACACCTGGAAGAAAATAGGGGAAATCCCAGGTGTGCCCAGCTACCGTGATACAGATGTGGAACATGGCCGGAAATACTGTTACCGTATTCGGGCAGTGACCGCGGAGGGTACAAGTGAAGTGATGGAGACTGACGATATGCAAGCCGGCACACTCGGTGAGTCAAACTGCGATGTCTGTCAGGTCAGTTCGCCCTATGCCTCCTACTGTGTCTCGAAGACAGGGATAACAAAGGGTAAACTGCATCTACTGAGATTTCACTTTTTGTTAAATGTCAATAATGACACCTATGTGTGGTGTATCCTTCTTAGGTGTTGTCCAACCATTACTTATTGAATATTAAGAGTTTTATGGGTCTACTGAAGAGGTATACTACGTACCTAGATAGGTCACAAGTCAATCACAGGCCTAACAAACATGTTTCACACCTCTGGATAATAAATTCAAGTCTTCATCTCACTCAGCCTGCATGTGAGAGAAACCAGAGCTCCCAACCAAGCAAGGAGAGAACTTGTTACTGCACACATAAAGGTCAGGTGACAGGTTACAAGCTGGGACATTCTTGCTGTGAGGGTACGGAGCCAACCACGGAGCCATCAAGACGCACAATATGTATTATGTAGATCTTATTGTTTAATCTGTACTGTTTCTCATAACACAACATGCTGATAAACAAACCACTGACAATGACTGACAATAAATCTAAAACTCCCCCACAATACCAAAAAGATGATGATGGAACATGTCACACAACAAACCAACACACTGCACTTATTTTCATTGACCAGAAACGCACCAAAGACAGCAACCTTTGGACTAAAAGAAAGCCAATCCTCTGTACAGTTTAGAAAACCTTGCAAGCAGATGCCTTAGGCTGAGGCCAACAGACATAAAATTCCTTCCCAGATCTCAGAGTCAACTATGTTAATTGTGTTTAAGGTGTATAAATCTGTCACACACAGAAAGTGTCATGTGTTTAAGCCTTTGTGATGACACAACAGCCAACTAATAAAAAGCCAGTTCAGCGGCTGACAACAGAGAAACGCACAACACAAGCATACTGAAAAAGGATAATGGCTTGCACTCACTGATTGAAGTCTTCCTTCATTGTGTGTTGTTGAAGATCTTCATCAAGATCATCAAGTCTCTCCAGACTCCACAGACACATTATCCAGAGTTAAAGGTCATCCTTGAGAAGTCTGAAAAAGTTGCTGTTGGGATAGCAGAACACTTTTTTTGCTGGTATCTTTAATCTTACATTAACTGATCAATCTGCACATCAACTAAAACATTTTTTTTCAACTAAATGTAGGATTAAGTGAGATATTTGTGAACAAAGGTATAAACTACAAAAACTGCAAAGAATTCACACCAATTAATGGAGTTAGTAGCATTGATGTATTAACTAAATACATCTGTTTTTATAGTAACTTATCTGGTTAGCAATGTAATTAATTGTAATTTGGCTGACAAAGTTAACTAGTAGTGTATACAGTATAGGTTAACATGTGTTAGTTAGCTAACATTACATAAGGCCTAGGTTTGTTTTTGTAGTTATTAGTTACAGACCCGACACAAAACCCATGCTAACAAACTGGAGATAAACAAAGAGTTTATTGGGTAATAAAATAAAAACAATTGGTGTAAATGAGCCAGTTTGTTTCATGTAAAAACCGTTGTTATATTTGAAAGCACCGACGGTTCATTTTTCCCTTTTTGAAGCCACAGCTCGTTTGACGTTCACTTACCGCTGTTTTCAGGATAAATTCGGTTTCCTCAAAGACGTTTATATTGACCGGTAATGAAATGTATCCGTCTGCTGAGCAGTAAGTTTTTAAACTAATTTCCCAAGATGTAACTCTGGGTGGCCGCAAAACCAGACCCGCACAGAGCGCCTGTATCAGACAGGGCAGCCCCATTACGGTGCAACGCAGGTGTGCAATGTGCCAATAACGCGCCTGTGCAGCAAATAAACAAATATCCGAACAAATATTTAATCAGGAACTCGCATTCAGATCTCATTTACAAGTCAGACCTACATAGTAAAAAATAGAGCAGAATAATAACAGCATGATAAATTCTAAATAATTACATATAAAAGATCCTTTACATAGGTATCAGCAAATATCTGCAGAAACTGCTGAATATGTCTTTCACAAACATTACTGAATCCAAATGGAAAAGGTACTGTAGTTTTTTTCTTTTCTTGTTGTGACATGTTAAAATGTTTTCCTGTGAAAAAGACCAATTCGATCATCAGCGGTTTCAGTGTCATTACTGCCCCCTGCTGATCTCCATTACTGGTTGCTACTGGTCTACACTCTGTTCTCTCTCATGCACCCTGTATCACAGAATCAAGTCAACTTGATTTTTTTTTTCTCCTGATCAACAGCCCAGAAGTCAAGATTCAATGTCCAATAATATTCCGGACAAAAGACTTAATTGATTAATCAAATATAATATTTTTGTTGATCTAATTTTCAAACTGCAGTTCTATAAAAAGCAAAGGATTTACCATAAGAGTGTAAATCAACACAAAACTCCGCACAGATGTCGAAGCAGTTTAGATTATTTGTAAGATGATCGTATTGGTATATTATTATTCATCAGTTCAGTCTCTCTGACTACAGCCTTAACCGCCAATGCCTGTTTTGTTTCTGCATACTTCAGCTTTTCCAGGCCCTCCAGCACCTCCACAGGTGATCAGTGCCTCTGACGACTGCATCAACATTTCCTGGGCTTCACCAAGTAACCGAGGAGGTTCACGTATCCTCGGCTATATTTTAGAGAAACGCAAGAAGGGGAGTAACCTCTGGACCGTTGTCAATGCCATGGATGAACTAATCAAAGGTCTGCAGTTTTATTTGACTGTACTCAGTCTGTTGGCATTGAAGACCATGACACTGATGTTTGTGTTGTTGTTGTTGTTGTTGTTTATCTGAAATGACTTCCAGAGAAGAAATATGCTGTGAAAGATGTTGTGGCAGGTATGGAATATGAATTCCGGGTTACTGCCATAAACCTCTCAGGAGCTGGTGAATTTAGCAGCCCATCAGAGTTTGTTTTTGCACGGGATCCCAAGAGTAAGTGTTGCAACGCATTAATAAACAATAGATTGCAGAAAATATATTCATGTACATATCTTAAAATAATACAATAAAATTAAAAATATTTGTTTAAGTTTATGAATGAAATATATACATGTATTATTGCTGATTTTAATAATACATCTCATATATTGTATACTGATTAAATCTACATATTTTACATTTGGTATTTTAATGTCATGTACCCCAGAGCCTCCTGGAAAAGTCACAAACCTGAAGGTGACAGAAACTTCTTATTCCCACTTGGTCCTGACTTGGACCAAACCTGAGGATAAACCAGGCATACAGGATGAAGCAAAGGGATATTTTGTTGAGATTCGGCAGGCAGAGACCATTGAATGGTCCCGCTGTAATACCACCCCCATCATCACTACTTCCTTCAATGTGAAAGGCCTCAAGTCCATGGACATGTACTGGGTGAGAGTGATTGCGACTAATGATGGGGGAGAGAGCGCTCCAGCGGAGTTGGCCAACTATGTCCTTGCAATGCCCTCGCCTGGTATGTCAACTCTAAAAAATTTAAGGAACAATATGTTGCTTGTTAGTTGTAGCTACACATTAACATTTTGAAGACAGTTCAAAGTCCACTTTGTTTCTTTACAATCGCATATTGCTATTTTTTTAATGCTTACCTACATGATCAGTATGCCATTTTATGTTAACAGCAATATTTTCAGCGCATTAAATCACTGATCATTCATTCTTAGTCTTTAAAATGAGGGACTCTTGCCATAGAACAACACAGAACACATATATATGTATTTAAGTTTACTGTAAGAACCGTCTGAAGTTAAATATTGTCCAAAGCACTTTTAATTGTTTTTATTCATTATTCTAGTGAGGCCAAAGTTCACCAACCACAAGATGATGAGTTTTATGGTGGTGAGGGCAGGAAACTCTGTCAGGATCACAGTGAACTATGAGGTGAGATTCATATCTGAGCTTTATTATTGATAAATGAGGCAAACCGTTGTTTCACAAACCCATTAGGGGAACTCAAAGAATGCTATATTCAGAGTTCAAATTGTCAGGATATTACTAATGTTCTTTTTTACAGGCCTCCCCATGGCCAGATATTATATGGCTAAAGGACAATGTGCCAGTAACAAAGCGAGTTACAATCAGTAACTCTGACGGATCATCCCAGCTGCTGATCCCCTCCTCTGAGCGCTCTGATTCTGGCATCTACTCCATTTTGGTGAAAAATCTTGCAGGACAGGAGACATTTAGTACAGAGGTCAGAGTCACAGGTAAAACTAAAATGAAGATATATTTTGTTTTGCCACATGAATGTCAGGTACATGTGTTAATGGATCAGCCAGTAAAACCGATTGTGGTTACAGATGATCCAAAGCCTCCTGGACCGGTAGAATTGGAGGAAAACGTCCCTGGCACAGTGACAGTGATCTGGGACCCTTCTCCTGATGAGAAGCGCGATGACCGCCTCCACTACACAGTGTCCAAACTGGACTCTGCCAAACGCACGTGGACCACAGTGGCTGACAGGCTCTTCAATAACAAGTTCACAGTCAGCAATATCATGCACGGGAGGGAATATAATTTCCGGGTCTATGCCAAAAACGACATGGGAATATCTGCCCCCTCAGAGTCACCAACCTGGGGGACAGAGAAGAAGAAAGGTGTGTTTATGCATCTTAAACAACCTCAAATGCCATATAGTCAGTTCTTTAAGAAAATTAATCTTATATTGTATCTCCTGTCTTGTAGAAAAGTTTGTGGTGAGTACACCGACCAGGAAGGACTGTGATTTGCGATGCGCCCCAACCATCATTGTGCCTTTGAAGCTTCACACTGCACCCAAAGGCTACGAATGCTACATGAGTTGTGCAGTGACGGGAAATCCCAAACCTCGTGTCACGTGGTATCGAAATCACATCAGCCTAAACACTAACGCCAACTATTACATCTCCAACACGTGTGGAGTTTGCTCCATGTTGATTCTCCGCGTAGGCCCCAAAGACATGGGGGAGTATACCGTCACTGCAGAGAACGCCCTCGGACGTGCTGAATGCTCCACCAGCCTATGTGTCAGAGGTGAGAGAGAAACACACCTGCACTTTAATTCAAATGATAAAAGAAACATACTTAATGATGCTAAATCATTTTATCTTTCTTCCATACAGAGTGAAGACTGTAAGAGCGCCACAATGTGAGCAGTATTTATTTTAAGGTTTAGAAATCTAATTCATGATGTTTGAACTGAAGTGGTTGTGCTGCTTGGATGTAATGCACCAGTTGCAATGAGAAAAAGATGGGATTTAATATTTATTGGACTGCTACTGAAATTAAAATAAAGCATTTCTCAATTAAAATATTGCACTCCTGATTTTTTGGAACCCCTGGAATACTGCACAAATATTACAGCAATATATACCAAGCAAGACCTTCTGACTTTTGGTCATTATAGGAAAATCACAGGTGTTACTAATTACAGTAACATTGTCAGTGTGACAGTGAGGCAGCATGTACAATACCAGGACCCTAAAACCAAAGCAGCTCAAATGTTTCATGTAGAAAAATACTGTAAAGCACATTGTTTGTATTAATGTTATATTATTTACTACTTATTTAAGCCACACTTGTTGGAAACTCTAAAGCAAACCTTTTGACACAAAGAATGTAACAAACATCTCAGGGGCTATAAATTGATCTGGTCTTTAAGGGCATATTTTAAATTGCCCTGCACACACATACAGGTGTTTTCAATTACCCCAGCTGATTAGACCTCTAGATTTAGTGGCATCTAGCAGTGTAGTTCCAGTGTCCTTCCTTGCTTCACCCTCCCTTCTAGAGCCAAAAGGAGTCACTATGTTGGCTGAATAACACCCCTATCTGGAGCGAGTTTGTTCTTTCGTCCCTTCTGGACTACTGTAGAAACATGGCAGTTCGCCATGGCGGACTGCATGGAAGGTGACCTGTGCAGATAGGTAGAAAACTCAGTAGAAGATAACAAAAACATAACAATTACTTTTTTCCGGTGATTATACACTAATGTAAACATACCTATGAATATTATATTCCATTTCAGCTAATAGACTATCTGAAATGTTACACAGTGGACCTTTAAGTTGGGTGGAGCTAAAGGAATTGCGTTATGCCACCAACCTCTATTTACTCGTCACATTACACTTCAGTACAGCACATATTTGCTCATGTTCACTTATGTTTAAGTCCATGCAATGCATGACTTCAAACATGCGGTTTCCAGACAGCAGTTCAGAGTTCACCTTTGTTCAACTTTGACCATGCAGATGTGCACAATCAGCCAATAGAAACACTGATGCTCTATGTTTGGAAATTGAGAAGTTAATTATTACACAACCAGTTTACAAACTGCAGCAACACCTGTGTGTAGGTGGACTATAGAAATCATCTTAGGATCACTTCCATCTGCCTAATGCAGATTTAGCTTTGGCAGCATGGTGATGCAGTGGAGCCTCACAGCAAGTAGGTTCTGAATGTGAATGGTTGTCTGCCTATATGTGGCAATACTGGCAACCTGTCCAGGGTGTACCCACCTATTGCGCCAATGTGAGCTGGTCACAACCCTGCAAAGGATAATGGATGGATGAATGTTTATTTACACTAATGCAAGCAGCAAGAAAACAGATTACACAAGTAAAGCTGATATATAAGTAAGACAAAAAAAAAAAAAAACAATTAATTAGACCACATTATGACGAGATTTAACCAGTACAGAATTCTGATGGAATGTAAGAAAGTAGCAAAAGCCAAGAAGATGTTAACATCTTAGAGGCTGAGTTGACCTTTAATATAAATTTTCACAGACTGTGCATGCCACCGAATATGCCAGGCTCATAGTTACAATTTAAAACTTAGCTGTTGAATGAATAAATGAATCTTGGGGGGCCATGGGGGCTTTCTGTAATGTCACGTCATCCTAACCCACAGTGGCCAATGGCAGAAGTGTGCAATCACTGCAAGCCACATGCAGCTCTGGCCTGCAGTAAAAAATAGCGCACAGCAGCCGGACGTGTAGTTTTGCCATTAGATGACAGCAGCGCACATGGTGGTGGAGACTCAGCTGCCCGCCCCCCACCAACCCTACTCCTCCTTCCTCTTCCTGAATGGACGAACACGCTACCTTACGGTCCACGCCTCCCTGTGGTCTCATCTCCTGCTCTGCCTCCTCATCAAGATCTCGCTGCAGCCTCTCGGTACTTTATTGAGCAGTGATTGAAACCGAGTCGATTTGCGCAGCGCCAGGAGCTTTGCGGAGTAAAATCACCGCTCGCACTTCGGTCAACGCTTTTGTTTTTTGACCGACCGGGCTCCTTGAATATCACCTCTCTGCCTATCCAGAACATTGTGTCCTTTTGTGGGGAAAATGACTGCCAAGCATCGGAAAGGGAAAGGCAACCACAAACATGAAGATAACTTTTTCAAGAATGATGTTGTGGAGTCCGAAGTTCGCTCTGGAGCGAATAATTACGCTCTCCTCTTGGTTTTATTTCTGATGATTGTAATAGGCGGTGCCACTGGTGCATGGTTCTGTCTCCAGCAGCACCAAACTTTAACCTACTTAACAGACAATCTCATGGGCATGCAGATGAAAATAGTGAAATTACAGTCCTCCCACGAAGAAATGCGTCAGTCAAGCAGTAAGGTAAGGGATTAATAAAATAAATAAATAAGCATTTCCCTGAGAAGTGATTAATCACCTGAGTTTGCAGCCATCAGGAGCACAAGACGCTGCCTGCGGTGGCCTATATCACATTATGAAAAGAGTATAAATCATTTCATATTATAATTTACACACACTCTTGCACATATTTAAGAAAGGGCCTCACCACATGGCAACAGAAAGCATTACCAGTGAGGAAAGTTAAGACCTGCAGGCCTCTATCAGATTTCAAAATGCCAAGAGCCCCACTGGAGTGAGTACAAAACGCTGCTATTTCTAACATCCACACAGCTGCCGACGTTTGTAATGAGGATTATTCTTGACCTACTATCGCAGGAGCACTGACTTTATTACTCACTTAAATGCAGCAAATCCATATCAGTATCATAGTTCTCTGTGGAAAATGTCTGTGGTATGTTACCAGTCAAGAACATGTTCTCAGAGCTGTGCAGAGGATGCTGCCAAAATAATAATAAACAAGACAGAAGTGTGCCAGGGCTAAATTTAGTCTGTGATTTTGATACTGAACACCAGTTCAGAGGCTGTTTACAGGCGTTTGGAAAGATTATATAGGAGAACAGAGAGTGATGATTGTTTCATCTGTATTTCTGGAAAAAATGACAGAATATGTCTAAATACTGTATTAGTTTCCAGTATTAGTCCTACTTTAAGAAACTGTTATATTCCTATAGTTTTATGTATCTGCATGAATGAACAGACCCTTTTATGTCAACACAAAATGAGGTTCATGGCTGCCTTGAGCTATTTTTCTCTTTACCTGTGAAGTGCATAGTATTCCAACTATTCTTATGTCGCTGCAGGCAACTCATCAAGTTGCAGGGAGATGAGCAAGAGAGGCACTTAACCAAAACAAATGCACTCCTCTCACTCCTTCTGTCATGCAACTCCACCTTTGGTCAAGGCAAGCCTATGTGGCAAACACTTTGCATGAGAACAGCTCTGCTAGCTCAGTCTTGTTACAGAAATATTTCCTGTACCAGCAGTAAATGGTTTTTTTTCTGACTCATGTGCTTGTCTCTGCACTTTTAAAACTTTTACCAACCCATTTCTTCTTCATGCACATTCAATATTCCATTTGTTTCCTGTAACTTCTTGCAAGGATGGAAAGTTTTACTGAGTTGTCCATGCATTATCAAACTATTCTGATTGATTGTTTGAATCTGGTGTTTGAATGACTAGTTAGAGGAACTGGGGCAGCAATAGGTGCAATATTCTTTCTTGGGGCATATTTGATTGACTGAAAAGAATTGTGATTTAATGAGAAATTAAACAGATTCTACCTAAATTATTATACAGCCCATGTCTACATCACTAGGCTTGGGGCTAAGTGTTGTAAGGGCTTTGGTATTTTAAAATTGCTTTATTGATTTTATGGACATGTATACCCTGATATTGTAGGGGAAATGTAGTTTTTGTAAGTTAATTAATAGACAACCATATTATTTCAATATAAAAGCATCCTTGGTTTTGCTCCACTACACCAGCTCAGTGAGAATGACAGCACCACTCTTGTATGTGTCGTTGCAGCAGCAGTTTTCGGAGAATCTGGAGACCCGCCTGAATGCCCTGGAGGAGTCTTACGCACTGGCCCAGAAACAGGTGGGAATGGCCTTAGCTACAGCTGAACAGCTCAGGACATCTGACCTCCCCGCTCAGGTGCTATCGCTCCACACTGAGATGAAAGCCCGCCTGGCAGAGATGCAGCAAGCCACCGTGTCTTTGGAGCAACTGAGCCAGCTGCAGACCATGCTGAAGGGGAAGAGTGAGGAGTTCGAGGGTGTCAGGATTCAAGTGGAGGGCCTGGCCACACTGAGTTCTGAGCTGTCCCAGAAGGTTGAGTTCTTGACAGGGAGCCTGGGAGAAGCGGAATCTAAGCTGGAGGAGAAAGGTGGAGAGGTTGCCACACTGAGTGCCACCCTGGATGGACAGGTGGCCGAGGTGCTCAGACTGAAGGCGCAGCTGGACACCTACCAGACTCAGCTTGAGGCCAGCACACTGGAGATGGCTACTGTCAGGTAGGTTGTGGAAAAAGCAGCAGCTTTTGGAGCTGTTGGGGAAAATAGCTCACCTCCTCTGACCCATAGTTTATGTTGACTTTGTCAAAGCCCTGTTGGCTGCCACTGTCTGCGTCTCTGTGTTACCCAGGATCCAGGGTGTCTGTAGGCCTCATATTCACATTGTAAGATTGCCTTGATCTGTATAAACATTTCTATTGTATTGGTGATTTTTGGACCTGAATGGTTTGCGTAAAACTTACTTTGTAAGTCGTCACTCTTTGAAGCTTATATAAACATAATGGAAATGTGGTTCACAGGCTATAGTTGCGGATGTCAGAACTAAAGAAAGCAATGTAATGAAGCCATGGGTGCTCTTTGCTAGAGGTTTTTCACTTCAAAACTCTTACTGTGAGTGTCTTCTATCTTTCAGAGAGTTGCTTGACAGTGAACAGTCCCAGCGGCTCCAGCAGGCCAATGTTGAGGAGCAGCTCAATACGGTACGTCTGAGTCTTCAGGATCAGAACTCAGCAGCCCGTAGTCTGCACTCTGGACTCAGGGCTCAGCTGGAGAACATACAGA